TCATTGCGGGGTTTCGGTTTTGGGCTTGGGTCCTCGTTGATATTCACGATAGTAGGCGGCGGATACAGCTCTACCTGGGTGTCTGGAAAATCGCCTTCCCATTCCAGGCATGCATTCTTGCGCTTCAGGCCAGTCTGGTGCACTGCAGTAGAACTAGCAGCAGGCACAACCGGTGAAGCCAACGTGCGCCCCGCTGCCCAAGTCCCTGGATCAACCTGGCTGTCGAACAGCACAGAGTCGTTGTCCAGCATCACTTGGCTATCGAACAAACGTTGGCTGGACATCCTGAAAGGCACACCGCTCAACACCAAAACTGACAGAGCTTAACTTCTGCGGTTCATGAAATGCAGCAGTACAGCAAATGCTCTCCCCTGTCCCATCCTAGATGATATTAATGCATAAACCTTGGGTGGGCCCTCGGGACACAGACCTCAGGACACACAACCCCGGACATGCCCCGGACATCCCGGACATGCCCCGGACATGCCCCGGACATGCCCCGGACATCCCGGACACCACCCCGGACACCACTCCGGACATCCCGGACACCCCCTCCGGAACATCCCGAACACAACCCCGTCCCCCCCCCCGAAACTCCTGACATAACCCCGGACACCCAGGACTCCCTACGGCCCTACGGCTTTGGCCCACAACTTTTTTGTTTGTGGGTTGTCTGAGAGCAGATTGTTCACAGGTGAATCGATACATCCCTTTGCAAGCTTCAAAAGTGAAGCTTGGCTGACAGGGAACCCGGTGACACTGTGCACAGTAACACCCTGAGAAACCCGACCTCAACAGTAAGCACGAGTGTGTACCCAAACCGCTTCTCCAGAGCCTACAGCTTCAGATACTGCTGAGGTCTGTACTTGTCCTAGTCCTAAGGCTCTGCTCTCAGACGCTGATCCCACTATTCTCCCGCACGTCTTGGTGTCAGTTGTATCTTCCCAGGGTTCGGAAAAAGGCAAGAATGGGTTAGCTGCAAAAGCAGCAGCCCACAGTGTAGCTGCCAAGCAGCACCCCTGCCAAAGGGATAGCTGCGAAGCAGCACCCTTGCCGATGGGTTAGCTGCAAAAGCAGCAGCCCACAGGATAGCACCCCGGCCGAAGGGATAGCTGCGAAGCAGCACCCCTGCCGAAAACAACTGTTAAAAACCGCACCCCGATGAGATGGGGTTGCGGGGAGCAGGCAAGTGGGTAGCCAACAGTGGCAGCCACGAAGCCAAGGTGAATGATCCATAAGGTCACAGGTTAGCAGCAGAAGCTGCAGCCTGGACGCTAAGGATGCCGCACAGTTCACCTCTCGCGGATCCACTTCAGCAGCTGGCCGGTTCTTTTGGACTCCAGTGTCGGGTCCTGTTGGACCTGCCTCTCCAGGTGAGTGAGAGCCGTCTGGAGGCTTTTGTCAGACACGATGTGAATCCTGGCTCCGTGGCAGGTCTCAGGTCCCTGCAGGCTCAGATGAACGAACAAACAATTCGTGGGCAGCACGACTCCCCTCCCAGGGCGGCATGTCACACACCAGCCATACCGCTCAACTGCCGTGAGGAACTCTTCTGCACGCATCCGCTCCAGGTGCTGCAGCATCTCGGCCGTCGTGTTGCCGGCTAGCTTCTTCACGGGGAACCCCAAGTAGATCTCCTTGCCTTCGCAGCAGATGCGCAATTCGGGCAAGCCCCAGTCAGTGGACATCGAGAGGCGGCCGGAGTCCCCGGCCATCTGGTAAAAGTACAACTGCCAGATCTCTTGCAGCTCCTTGCTCGAGGGTCGTGCCACGGAACGCAGTGGCACCGGCAGGATCTGGTCCAGCTGCTGCAAGAAGGGCCTGGCCACATTGTCTCTGGTGACCACCGCACACGAATACTTCTGGCTGCTCCTCAGCAGCATCTGCTCCACCCACTTCTTTTGCTCGCTGTAATACTCGTGCCGGGTCACATCCCGGGTAAAGCCTTCCATCGGCGTTGGTGGGAGCAGAAGGGGCACTGTCATCTCATCCTCTGGCTCCGTTGCGCAGTTGATGATTTCATCGGGAAGCGGGTTCTCCTTGAGGTGCTTCAAACAGATTGACCACCAAGGCGGGGGTCTCGGCAGCTGCCTGGCTGTTCGGATGATCAAGCTTGGCCTTCTTGTTCGAACCCCTCACTGTCGCCTTCGCGGCCAGCTTGTCCCGCTTCTTCACCTCCTTCTTGCAGTCTGAGGTGAATTCGCGGAAGTTTTTCATCTGCTGCTTCGTGTCCAACACTGCCTGGCAGTGCTTGCCAAGGTGCCACTCCTTCATGTAGGCTGCCAGATCCTTCTCCATTGACACCATGGCTTCGATGTCAAGGCTTTCGTCACCAGCCTTGGTGTTCCATTCTGCGATGGACTCCTCCATGGCAGTCTCCAGGTCCTTGATCTTGCCATTCAGCACTTTCGTCTTTTCCTCGGCTTCTCTCTTCACGGGGACGTCTGACATGCACAAAGCATTCGTCAAGTCCTTGCACAAGGTGTCTGCTGTGGCCTTCTGACGCTTCAACAGCTCGGACATCGAAGCATTTGCCTTGTGGATAGCGTTGGTGAGGCTGAGCTTTGCCACTGCCAAGGAGGGAAGCTGGGTTGCTTGCTTCTCCTTCAACTCTTTCCTCTTTTGATCAGCTTTCTCCTTGAGTGCCAAGGCTTGCTGCTGAAATTCAGCAGCTCTGTTCTCAGCAACTTCCTTCTCTTGCTCCAAATCTCGTCGCACCGCGACGGCCGGAACGTAGGCCTGCTTGCCCTGCTGCTCTGACAGAAGCCGCTCTGTTTGGAGCTTGTCAGAAGCACGTTTCATGCGAGGTCCGATTTCCTCTTCGAAACCATCAAGCTGCTCGCCATCGCCAAGGTCAGTCCGCTGCCGCACGGATGCTGCAACGGTATGGCGGTCCACGACATTTTCCAGACCTCCGTTGTTGACCCGGAGGCAGAGTTCCCCGTTGATCTCCTTGGTCACAACGTCCGGATCTGTGCAGCGCTGCTCGTAGGCTGCCATAGCATCCTCCAAGGTACTGTACTGCTTCAGGATCATTTCCCGTGCGCACCAGTCGCGGGGGGTCATGTATCGTGAGCCTTCCCAGTCTGGCGAGTCTCTTCCAAGGCCCCCACTGCCGTTGCGAAGGTCCTGCGGCTTTTCTTTGACTCGGTTGCCCGCTTCCGTTTCTCTTGGCGGTACCACTGGGCACGCTCCGAGGAACCCATCTTGGCCACGCTCCCCCTCAGGGCCTCAGCGCTTTTTCGAGCTTTCTTGGCCTCCTCGCTTTCTTTGGCTTCTTCGGCAGAGCCCTTCTTCGGTGCTTTAGCCATCCGAGAGAGGCACCGGTCTGTGGACGAACAGCAGGAGCAGATCCGCCTCAAGCAGTTCCTTCCAGTTGGGTAGCTCGTCAAGATGCTTGTCTCTTCCTCACACCTGATGCACATGATGCTCTGAGGCATCTCCTGGTCCGGGGCATCTGTCATGCTTGCTGCGGCGCAGGGGAGCACGAGTGTGGGAGCTGAGGGGCTTGTGGAGCCAAACAAATCGCTGCAAGACACAAAAACAAGAACCCTGAGTTCAATGGCTGTCATCAGGGAACTACCCGGCAAGCTTACTCAGCGAACACAGAAGGGTTATCGGAAGACTGTTTTGCACTATTCTCAAGCTTGCTGTGTGCACACACACACACACACACATCTGCTCATCCACCTACCATCCTAGCAGGTCCTATCTACGAACAGGCAGACCGCCACCATGGCAACCGACACCGCTTAGAATCGCTAGTCGGAATCCGAGAGGTGGATCGCTTCTTTTGGCAGGTTCAAGTGAGGTGGGAAACGCAGCTTGCGCTGAGCATTCTCTGGCATGTCTCGCCCTGAGCTAGTAGAACGCCTCCGTCTGTCGCCAACCTTGCTTCCGGAGCTTTGTGCTGGCTCCGATTCGTTCTTGGAGCTCTTGCTTGCTGGCGAGAGCCAGTTTTTGGATGAAGCTTTGGCTTTAGCCAAACACTCGAAGAGGTGTGTTGCTTTCTCACTCAGGACGAGTGGCCTCTGTGGCGCAGCATCATCAACGTCCATGCCCGGATCATCATCCGAAAAAAGCTCGTCAACCAGTCGCTCAAGCTCTAGCTCCAAGTCATCGGACTGGTGACGTGGTAAGTCCTGGGTGCTGCCTTCTGGCTGGTGACGTGGTAAGTCCTGGGTGCTGCCTTCTGGCTGGTGACGTGGTAAGTCCTGTGTGCCATCTAAACCAGCTGTGCTGGTGTCACGAGGCAGAGTCTTTGGGGCTTCCTCTTCAGCTGAAGCCTCCGGCTTTGTGCTGGTGTCACGAGGCAGAGTCTTTGGGGCTTCCTCTTCAGCTGAAGCCTCCGGCTTTGTGCTGGTGTTACGGTCACGAGGCAGAGTCTTTGGGGCTTCCTCTTCAGCTGAAGCCTCTGGCTTTGTGCTGGTGTCACGAGGCAGAGTCTTTGGGGCTTCCTCTTCAGCTGAAGCCTCTGGCTTTGCGCTGGTGTCACGAGGCAGAGTCTTTGGAGCTTCCTCTTCAGTTGGAGCCCTTGGCTTTCGAACCCTGTTGGCCTTGGGGTTGCGAGTCTTTGGGGTTACCTCTTCAGTTGAAACCTTTGGCTTTGTAGCTGTTTTGGCCTTCGGGGTTCGGGTCTTTGGGCTTGCCTCTTCAGTTGAAGCCTTCGGCTTTGCACTGCTTTTGGCCCTCGGTTTTCGAATCTTTTGTGTTGCCTCTTCAACTGCAGCCTTTGGTTTGGAACCTTTTGTGGCGCTTGGCCTCGGGGTCTCTTCAAGGATACAAGCTGCTGATGTACCCGGTGGCTTCGTGTGCGGCAGAAGCTCCACTGCGCAGGCTTTGCAACGGTTGCCTGCAGTGAGCACGCCAGAGTTGACCGCTGCCGCCACGAGCGGCGAGGCAACAGCGGCCAGCTGCACTGGCGAGAGAGCGTTCCCGATCGCATGCAGGGCATGGGTGTCTCTCGAGAACAAGGCCGCGTGGCTTGCACGCTGCCCCAGAGCGCTGCACCGCTCAGCGATGCTGAGCCACCTGTGCAGTCGCATGACCTGCCATGGCCTCGACAAGTCCTCGCAACTCAGAAGAAACAAAGGTGGCCCCGTAGTCCTCAGTGATGGGATCTTGCCCCAACCCCACTTCCCGCCGAAAGTTCTCAAGGGGTTTCGGTCGAGCTCCACAACAACCGTGTTCGAGGGCAGCGGCTTGCCTTGGGCACGATGCTCTTCGATGCACTGAGATATGGTCTGCTTGTACAATGTGAGGTTAGCAGCGTGCCCTGCACACAAACTCTGCACATCGGTCGCAGCCAAGCTCAGATCCAAAATCTCTTCCAGTGTGACTGCCGGGAGCAGATCCGTGCAGCACAGGGGGGCAGGGAGGAACGCCTGCATGGGGTCTGGCAGGCAGTCTCTCCTTAGCCCTCTGATGAAAAAACGACCTCTCTTGACTGGCAGAAACTCCACAGCATCCTTTTTCACGGTGTCTACCAAAAAATATGGCAGTGACACTTCAAGTCTCAAGAGCATCTCATTCAGAAACTCAGCATGGTTGGCATCAGCCAAATGTGAGCTGTTTTCCAGAATGAAAAACAGAAGACAGCCACGCGAGCCTTCCTCACATATCATGCTTACAACTGATTCAAAAACATCTGTGCGGCCTTTTTCGTCCTGGGCGCCCTGCCTTAAACCTGTGGAGGCAAAAGGCTGACAAGGGGGCCCGCTTATCAAGCCTTCCGCACTTGACAGTTTTGACAGCACGACATTCCTCTCGATGTCCCCTTCTTGCAAACCCAGTTTGACTTCCGAAGTCCCCTGCAAACCCTGGTTTCGCAGAGCTCGCCAAAACGGCACCAAGTCCATGTTGAAATCGTAGGCTGCGCATGGCCTGTAAACAAGCCCTGCTTTCTGCATCCACTCTCGATAATCAGAGATGCCTACACAGGGCTCAGCAACCACAGGTGCACGCCCGAGCTTTGAGCTCCAAGGACTCATCGCATACAGGAGCTTCGCTGCCCCAGTCTCCATCATGCTGCAACCCACTAAAAACAAAAGCTTGGCTTGAGAAAGAAAAGAAATCAGGATGATGGCTCCGGCTGTCTACGCTATTCTTGGAACTGGCTTTGCTCACTCTCAGTGACAAACTCAGGACTGATGTAAACATTTCCACCCACGGAAAAAGACAAGCAATCATGCAATCCAGTCTCTCAGTCAGGCAATTGGGTGGCACAGTCTACCCTTGCAATGCACTTGTTTCCATTTCCATGCAAGGCCTTGAGACAGGCAATCATGCAATCTCTGAGTCATGCAATTCGGCGACAGCATTCCACCGCAAACTCTTATTGTCTGCGACAGCATTCCACCGCAAACTCTTATTCTCGGCGACAGCATTCCAGCATTCCACCGCAAGCTCTTATTGCCGAAAAAAAAACCGCACTCAGATTCTGGACCCTTCCTTCCACCATTGCCACCACCAAGTGGTCCCATCATCTGTCTCCATTCGTTGACCCTTCCTTCCACCATTGCCACCACCAAATGGTCCCATCATCCGTCTCCATTCGTTTCCAGCACCACTTCCAAATGATAGTCGCAACCCTTTCCCCTCGCGGGGATCTGGATCGCTCGGATCGCTCCTGTGTGCGGCGGGTGATCACACTAGTGATCACACTGCTGCCCGCCTGCGGCTGGGTCGCATCAGTGATCACACTGCTGCCCGCCTGCGGCTGGGTCGCATCGGTCTCATGCACTGGAGAGTCACCTCGTTTGCGTTTGCCAGGCATACCCCTGGCGCTTTTTTTCTTTGCTGCTAACACAAACAAAGCCTCGAGAGAAAACGGCTGCTGTGCAAAGAGTTTAGAGGACGCAGAGTCATCAGACGTGGGCGGGACCGGGGCTGGGCGGAACTCGGGCGGGACAAGGGCGGGACATGGCGGGACGTGGGCGGGACATGGCGGGACATGGGCGGGACATGGCGGGACATGGGCGGGACATGGCGGGACATTGGCGGGACATGGGCGGGACACGGGCGGGACATGGGCGGGACATGGCGGGACACGGGCGGGACATGGGCGGGACATGGGCGGGACATGGCGGGACACGGGCGGGACATGGCGGGACACGGCGGGACATGGCGGGACACGGGCGGGACATGGCGGGACACGGGCGGGACATGGCGGGACATGGGCGGGACATGGCGGGACATTGGCGGGACATGGGCGGGACACGGGCGGGACATGGGCGGGACATGGCGGGACACGGGCGGGACATGGGCGGGACATGGGCGGGACATGGCGGGACACGGGCGGGACATGGCGGGACACGGCGGGACATGGCGGGACACGGGCGGGACATGGCGGGACACGGGCGGGACATGGCGGGACATGGGCGGGACATGGCGGGACATTGGCGGGACATGGGCGGGACACCCAAAACGGCCCCAGACACCCTCGGGCCCCGCCCCGGACACCTTTCCCGGGCCCCGCCCCGGACATCCCGGACACAACCCCGCACATCCCGGACACGACCCCGGACATCCCGGACACGACCCCGGACATCCCGGACACGACCCCGACACGACCCCGGACACCCCGAACACGAGACCCCCAAACAGGTGCTAAATCCCCTGCAAACGCCCTCCAGAGCCCTCCCAGTGCCCCCAAAGCCCCCCCGAAGACCCCCAGGGCCGCCCCCTTGAGAATTCACTGTGTTTTCTGTGTTCTGTCCTCTTGTGGCCTTAAAACCCTTTATGAGTTCAACATGCCCGGCAAAAACAAAACTGAAACGCTTCAGTAGTTGTTTTGCAACAAACGCTCGACCGTGATGATTCCTGGTTGTAGTTTTTTCTGGCTGTGCACTTGACCACACGCCCCGCCAGCCTGCTGAGAACGAATCTTTTTTGGCACGACTGTGCTCGGCAGTGCTTGGTGAGTGGAACACTGGAGCTACTTCCGACTTGGCCTTTTCAGCTTCAGTTGTGCTTGGTGCCTAAGGGTTCAGGTTTCCGGCTAAAAGCTTAAAAGCTGTAGTAGCTGTATTTTGCTTGGTGCCTAAGGGTTCAGGTTTCCGGTTTCCGGCTAAAAGCTTAAAAGCTGTAGTAGCTGTAGCTTTGCTTGGGGCCTGAAGGCTTTCGTGAGCTAAGGGCGGGTGAAGGCCAGTCGGGCTCCTACCCTACGGCCTGGCTCTACGGCCTAGCTACCGCGGCCTAGCCTCCTCTGCGAGAGCCGAATCTTAGGGCTCTGGGTCCAGGATCGCACGGATCTTAGGACACCAGGCCCTCTCGCCCAAAAATCTTCGATGTTAGGACTACTGCTGCTGCATGTCCAGCATCTTTGTGGTGGCATCGAAAAAGGCCAGCATCATCTGGGGGATCTGAGGGCTCTGGCTCTGACCCGCCACCATGGCCCGATCCCTTGGCGATGATTTGCTGCGGCCTAGCTGCCCTGTCGGCTCCTTCCGCGAATCGCGCCCACGGCGGCCGGAGCTTGCCGCAGGCTCGCTCGCCCTGCGGCTGCGGGAGCGGCCCGAGAAGCGTCGGTCCATGTGCTCGCTGCCGCGGGAGCTCTTGCGGCTCCCTCGAGAGCTTGCCTGGCCGCCGCCTTTGCGGCTCCCCCGAGAGCTTGCCTGGCCGCCGCCTCGAGAGCTTGCCTGGCCACGGCTCTGGCGGCTCTCACCACGGCTTCTCCGCCGCCCACGGCTGCCATCATCATCTCGGCTCTCTTCACGCCGCGGGCCACGTCTGTGCGGCGGCTCCTCCACACGCCCCCTGCTCCGCAGCTGCACCGGCGGCCTGTGTTGGCTCATGCTAGCCGCCCGGTCCTCCTTTGATGGCTGCTTCTTCCGCTTATTGTGCATGGCCTGCAAGCATTCCTTAGCCTCGTCGGAGTTCGGGTGCGTGCCCAGGCAGTGCTGCAGCATGTCCCACCTGCGCATGAACTGCCGTGAGCAGTGTCTGCACTGGCACGCACCCGAGCTCGCCTGCTCTTCCGCAGGCTTTTGGCCGGCCACATTTTGGCCGGCGGCGTGGAGCCGCCACTGGCGGCAGTATTCGCTGTTCTCCAGGTGGCTTTGCAGGCCTTCTTTCTTCACACACATCCAGCAGTGCTCGCAGCGAACGACATCTGCCTCGTCCGCTGAGTGCCGGCTGCGGTTCTTCCTCGCAGGCCGCGCTGCAGGCTCGCCCTCCGCCGCCTCCGCCTCCTTGTCTTCCTTGGGCTCCTTGGCCTTGCCGCTCTCTTTCTCGTCGGCCTGGGCCTCGTGTGCCTGCTTGGCCTCCTTGGCAGCGGGGGCTGCACGGGGCTTTTCTTTCTTGCTGGAGGACTCACTGTTGCCTCCGCTGGAAGAGCTGCTCTCCTTCTTCTTCTTGCGCTTCTGAGCAGCCTCCTCCTTTTTGCCACCCTTTTCTTCTTTCTTCTTCTCCTGGTCGTGGTCCACCACCACGATATCATCCTTCCGCGACTGCGAGTCCGGCTCCTTGTCCTCGTCCTTCTTAGCCGCCTCCTCCTCCTCAGACTCCTCGTCGTCATCCTCGCTGCTTAGGTCCACCTGGCCAGGATTTTTTTTCGGCGCCGGCATTGCTGCAGCCCCCGAGGGGTTAGCAGCAACACCGCCACCTGTGGCTGCACCGTGGGCTGCACCCGCGCCAGCAAAAGGGGCCGCCGCCGCCGGCGGATGCGGCGGCAACAGCGCAGGCGGCCGGTGTGGGAGCTGCGCCTCGCCCCACTGGTTGTAGACCACCGGCACCCACCTGCGAGCAATTTTTTTTAAGGTGTTGGGGGTTTTGCTTTGCTTTTGAGAGGCTAATCTGTTCCAACAGACACCTGCAACTGCAACCTGGCTTGCTGCTACACCTATAGCGGGGACGCTAAACTGACTACTGTGCATCCTGTAGCTCCAGGGTAGCTTCGTGCAGCCCACAGACCAGGTAGCGTGCCGATCCAAAGTGCAGCCTGGGAAATGGGTTAGCGTCGAAAACGCAGCCCGAAACCCAGGTGAGCACACGGTGGCCGCATCTGGCTCTGTGAGTTAGCAAGCTTCTTACTCTAGGGGCTTAAGGACTGCCTGGGTTTCAAAGCTTTGTAACTTTACAGGTTTCTCACCGCAAAGCTTTCGAGACTCGACTACACTTCTCCCTGCCGGCCTTCCGTAGTGGGAGAAATGCCAATGCATTGGCCCCTGCACAGCCCAAAGGAGCCGAAAGGGGCTGCGGGCAGTCACACATGCACACAGTGACCGAGGTACTCTTGCAGCAAACGGAAGCAGCACAGTCAGCCAACACGTGTCCTGCATCCAAACAATGCAACAAACTAAAAAAAACCCTCAAACGTTCACTCTGACTGCCGTGTGTTGCATCAAGCGATCCGGAGCATCATGGCATCCACCTGCTCTTCACTTGGCTTGTCCGCAATGTGAGCTTCAGCTCTGCGGTGGTGAGCTGCTCGCATTTGCCAAGCAAGCAAAAAGGCAGCAGCCCGCCTGCGGCTGCCATGATGCCGTACAAACGTGTACAAGCGGCAGCCGCTGTGTGTCTCGCAAGCAACGAATGCTCGGAGCTGACCGCTGGAGTGTGTGAAATTGTCAAAATGCACTACCTGTGTCCTACCGCCTCCCAAGTCGATTTCTAGAGGAGCGACACGTCTACCACCGCTGGCCATGCTTGGCTGCGGCTCTTCTGCTTGCATGAGCTTTTCAGGCAGCTCTTGCACAAGCTCTTCTAACTCGGCATCATCAGCCTCTGGGTCAAGCTCCAGACCTGTAGCCGCATCTCTTGTCAAGCTGCGGCCAGCAGGTCTTTTTTTCTTCTGCGCGAACCGAGCATTGATTTCCTCTGCAGAAGCATCCCGCAAGCTGCTGAGATCGTCCTGATCCACCAAGAACTCATAATACTGCTGGGGGCCTTTCAAGTAAATGCCCGACAAGTTGCCGGGCTTTTCCCATATAAGCCGACTCAGCATCAAAGCTCTGAGGAAGGGGAGGCTGCAAACTAGAACGTCATCTGGAAGACGTTTCTCTCCCTGCTTGCGATGCCACGCTTCCCGGCCCAGCCCTGGCTCCCAGCCCAAGACAAACAACAAACGAATTAACTCCAACTTTGATCGGCCTGGCATCTGGCCTCGAGTCAAAGTCGTTTGGTCAAGCTCCCAAAGCAACAATGGCCGTGCCAGCACCAAGCTTGCACTGTAGGTCAACTTGCCCGTCAAGGCGACGGATACATCTGAGAACATATCAGTCTCGCAGATGACAAGACCTCGGTCACGCAAGCCTTCCAGTGCAACAGCATCGAAGTGTTCAAGGTCTGTGGCATACACAGCAGATTCAATGCCGATGGCCCTTGCTCGCAGCAACTCTTTGATAGCTTGCATTTCTCCGTCGCTACACGGAGCACCGTAGACCTGCAGCACCGCAGAGTCGTCCGCATTCTGCACGACATGGGCAGGGGGGTGCAGGATGTCGAGGGCATCTTCCACATGCGGATCCGGAGGCGGTCGACTCAACAAGCAGGCAGGATCGCTGTCTAAGACAATCTCTGGAAGTTTCTGCACTTGCGGCTCCTGCAGCAAACCTGGCTGCGTGGACTCGTCTCCCAGAGCCAAGGCCAGTTCCGCAGGCATAGCACGCCAGAGCAAACAGTTTGCACAAAAGGCTTTCAAGTTCTCTGCTGTGCACACCCGTGCCAAGTCGAGAACCTCGATCCGCACATTCGTGCACGCCACCCGCACATCTCCACCAAGGCCGTGCACGCCCTGGGAAACATCCACGTCGTGGAAACGCTGCACAACCACACAGCTGCGGCGGCCTAGCTTCGGGTCTGTGATGTGTGCAGCAGGTCGCGAAACACGAGCATCCGTTCTTGCTTCTGGCCTGGCATCCAGCACCGAGCAGAAAACCGAAGCACGATCACTTACCCGAGGGTGGACGTCGGCTCGCAGAATAGACAGCAGCACGTCGGTTCTGAAGGATGCGGCTGGGTCTTCACATCTCCGACCCCTGTCGACAAGTAGCTCAAAGACATGCGTGGACACACTGAAAAACACGCCCGTCGCCAAATGGCCTTTCAGCCAGTTCACTACCTGGTGGGAAGCACTCGGAAGCTTGAAGCTTCCGGCCAGTAACAAAGTCTGATCTCTCAAAGTTTGGCGGTAAACGGCATCAGCACGAACAGAGTCCTCGCAATCTTTGAAGTGGTCTTCCTCGCTATACCCGTACAAGCGGGAAAGCCTCTTTGGCGTGTCCATAAGTCGAACCTCTTCGTGAGTGAGCATGTGCTCCAGCAGGCTACTCCAAAGGCGCCTGCTGCGCCAATTGTTGACCAAGAAAGCGAGCTGTTTCTCATCTTCCAGCATCTCCAACACTTGATCTCTGCGCTTGCGGCTGCAGACAACTGCAGGCCCAGCCTTTGTGAGACCACGGTTTGCTGCAACCTTGACACCGACATGCTCTCTCTCCGTGTGTCGCTCGGACAAAGAAACAAAGGCATATTCCTGTACTCTCCAAAACAACGCTGGCCATCGATCAAGGGGCACGTCATCCTCCGAGTTCAGAAACTCTCGGAGCATGCGGCCTGTGTCGGTTGGTCCAAACAAAGCATGTGTAACAGAGTCTAGAGCGCCGACTTGGCCAC